CTGAGAGATGTGACGGAGTGGTCGGGAAGAGGAACGTTGAACGCAGAGTGGTCGTTCCGAAAGATGGGCTGTACACTGCTAGCACTAGCTGCGTGAGATACTGTGGGAGGCATTGGTATCTGATGTTGGGGCAAAACGTTGTAGTCAACCGGTAGCTGAGTCATAGAAGACTGAATGGGAGCACCACGAAATCGATCGACTGGCGAATCAGCTGCAGGCGAACACCCGCTCGCATCCTCATCATCTAGAACAAGAAGAGGAAAGAAAGATGGAAAGAGAGAGAGTCAGCGACGTCCCGCAAATGGTACTATCGCGCAGCTGAGCTTTCTGTTTTTGGATGGTCAAAACTACAGAATGCCCTTGTAGCAAGATAACATTGTCTACATTATAAGGCATTTTTGATCAGCAATCGATAAAGGAAGAGCACATTTCTGAAGCAAACTTTCGCAACAAAAACGGGACAAGCAGCGAACTGATTGGAGTCCCGTTCTCTAATGAGAACTCAGTCCATCGATATATCCATCCAGTGCCATCATACGGAGCTATACGCCGTTAGCTACAGAATGGCGTTACTGATGTTTGATTTTTCCTTACCTTTTATACCCGTTGCTTATTGTGTTGCCGCGTTCATCCCTGAAGGTGGACTCCAGTAACGGTTCGAAAGCTCAGATGAATCAAGAAATGTCTCTGGCGATCAAACAGCTATTTTTTTGGACGCAAATCACAACAACAGAAAATTAACATCGTTTTCTTACCTTCGACATTTATGTTGTCTATTCATACAAATTCAGACATATTTTATCGAAAACAGGCATACAAATATTCCTTGGATAACAGTCTATTAAAGAGCTCAACAAGGAAACCAAAGCCCAGAATTCTGTAGTAAGTGACGGTGGTAATGGTAATTTACTTTTAATGTATTATTCTTCGTCTTACTCTTCTTTTCAATTATCGCACGTGTTGTCGTTGCTATATATATATATATATATATATATATATAAGATTTTTATAATATTGTCCCTATTACCACCGCTCCCGTAGTACAGAATTATGGAGGTTTGGTTTCCGTGGCGAGCCCTATAATGAACTGTTACCATTCTTTAGTATCGAATACCATCGTCCTTGAAGCTAGGGTGTCTCTCTGCAATACTATTTTTTTAATTTCCGAATAATTCTGAACCCGAACAGCAGTTGTAATTGCAATAAGGGTTTCCAAACTACATGCTACACACTTTCCGTGTAAGGAGAAAGAATCATACATTTCTCTGCGCTATTAAGAAGATGCCATGTGAATCTGGTAAAATTTTGCAATAGATATGGACTACCTAGAAGACTTTACTAGCAACAGGCTGTGTGAATGCATATTTCACAGTCCTACAAAATCTTATCATTACAGACTCTAAAAAAATCAACAGATACGCCTTTTCCCTAATAAAGGCAATCAGAGGAAGGCATACCGAAATCGCTGGAGCACTCCATCAACGCCGAACTGTTGGGCCCCATGGCAAAGGCCTCCGAGGAGCCAACTAAATTCGAGGCCGCTGGGGCAATAGCACCGGTTTCGGGCAACATAACAGTACCCTCGGGGATCATGGTAGGGGGTGGGATCAGCAGGGGAACGTGACCATCCGCGGCACACGCCTGACTGCTGACACTCCAGTCATTAAATTGTTTTGCAGGCAGCAGTTCGGGCGAGAGATGTGGATAGAAAACGTAGTCGTAATTCAACTTGATAGAGTTTTCATCCTCCTTCAGGGCAGCCAGTATTCTGGCGACAGCGTCCTTGATTGCCCTGTCAATCTCTTCGTTTAACTGGGTGTAGCCGTGGCCTTGAAACTAAAAGGTAAAAAGGCAGACTTGAGTAGGCAAAATCACGGCGGACTCAAGTGTGCGCGTATTGACAGACCCAAAAGCGGCCCATAGACAAAATAGGAATATAGTTCTGGTCATGAATTAACCGACGTACACATTACTATCAACCGCAAGTCAAGTAAAGTTATTTCGCGGTTTTTAGGAGGCGCGTCCTGTGATGATCAGCAAACCAGACATCAGACAACTGACCGGCTTG